CACCGAAGAGGGACCCGCGGATGAGTGTCGTGTAAATGATCTGTCGGTTCAGGTCGTAGTCCGGCGTTTGCGGCTGAGAGGCGGCGCCGATGGAGGTCTGCCGGTGAACGCCGGGCGTCGGCGGCAGCGAACCGATGTCGCCGTTGTGATGGGCGGCCGATTGGGGCGACTTCTTGGGCGACGAACGGCGTTCGGCGACCACTGGCGTCGAGTTTGGCTGACCGACGGCCACTTCCCTCACGAGCACCACCACGAAGTCCATGCCGGCCGTCTTCAGGGCATCGACAGCCTTGTAGTGATCTATTTCGGTGAAGTCGACGGCGTTCACCGACAATATCTTGTCGCCCACCCGGAGGCCGGCCCCCTCCGCGGGTCCCTCTTCGGTGATTCGCGATACGAATATCCCCTCGTCGTCGCCCTTATAGGGCGAGGAGCCCAGCCCTCCGGCGATGCTCAGCCCGAGTCCACCGCCCGTCCGCCGGACCCGCACTTGCATCCGCACGAACTCAGTCGCGGCCGCGCTGTTCGTCGACGTCTGCGAGACGGACGGCGCCGCGTTCGACACAGACGACCGCAGCGACTGGTTGTCCCCATCGCCGGCGCCACCGCTCGTCACGCTGTCGGCGCCGCGCGACGTCTGCTGTCGCAGCGGATTGTGTTCCCTCTGTTTCATGGCTTCGGCAAGAATGGAGGCCACCCTCTGCTGCTCGTCGCGCGACGCGTGGATCCGTTTGTTCTTCAGGTGATGGGGAGTGTCTCTGCGGTGGAGTTTGTTGTGCCACTCCTGGCGCTCCTCGTCCTCGTCTTCCACCCCCTCGACGGCCTCTTCGCCGTCCTCCTCGAAGCCCGAGAAGCCCACGTGTCGGTCGGCTGAGCCGGTGTTCACGCCGTGATCGTCGCTACAGTCGCCCGACTCCGAGTCCGTCACGTGTCGGCCGCCCTTAAGACCGTCCACACGGGACTCGCCGTTCGTGCGGCGACTGATATCCATGTCCTCATCGATCGCCTGATTCGCGGCCAACTCCGAGTCGCTCTTCACGATGACGGACGAGCCGTACGAGTCGGCCGACTCCGTGGAGGCGGTGCTGTGCCGCTGGCGAGACGTTTGGACGGAATTATAGTTATTATTATTGTTGTGAACAATGTTTTGCTGATTCGTCGCCTCTTTCGTCGCGCTATTGCTCTCCTCTTGCGATGACTGGTCTTTGCTGTCCTTTTGGGTGAACAGCCGCTGGTGTCGGGCCTTGAGCTCCCGGGGGTGGGGTGTGTCGTGTCGCACAAAATTCAACTGATCGGCGATCGCTGTGTTGACGATCGGTTGGCTGCGGTCCTCCTCGTCCTCATCCGAGCCTTCGGCAAACTTGACGGCCGTATGTCTCGGCTGATCCCAGTTTATACTGTTGGCCCTCTCGAGGGTGTTGTCCGTGTAGTTCTCTATTGAGTACACAAATGGTTAATCAATTAGAAAAAGTTAACTAAAACTCAACTATAAAACTCGATTTAAAAAAAACCTAATTTTAAACTTAATTAAAAACTTATAAAAACTTCAGTAAAATCTCAAATAAAGTAAAATACAAAATAATTAAACTAAAAACAAAATTATAATTTAAGTTAAACTAATCTAATACTCAATCACAAACCAATGGATAATCTACTTAATTCACACGAGTAGTCATTCCGCATAGAGTTACGAAACACACAAAATAATAGCTAATAAAATACAAATCAAATAATGAAAATAACACAAAAAATGCGATAAAATATTTGAGATAAAATACAATTAAGCGAAAGGAATGACAGGAAAATAAACAAACAAATGATTTTCTAGCACTAAACGAGTGATATATTTATACGATATAACGGTACAGCATATATCGTTAGTCAGATTCCCATTCCGTAGTTATCTTATCGCCAAAAGTCAAGGACAGGGATAGGAATAACTAAAGCAGAACCGATCGCATTGACTAACAAATGGGAAACACAAACAAATTATTGGCAATAAAAAAGCACTACAATAGAAAAACCGGTAAATAATAGCTCATTAGACGACACAAATGAATTGAATTACAAAACCCGTAACACAATACACACCACAACACACACACCGTAACGACTATTAGATAACATTTAGGTTTCAAAAAAACAGAGAAACAAAAGTGAAAAACGAGTTAAACATGTGTATCGACTGTCATCAGTACAGTCAGTCACTGAGAGCGCGAGGGGAACCGTACCTATACTGTCGTGATTGTACTCCTGTTGCGGTAACAGAAAACAGGTCAACACTTTCATGCGGCTGTCCTCGTCGTAGTCCGTCTGGAACTGGAGTATGGGCTGCGACTGATTCTCGGCCAACCAGATCGCCTTCAGGTTGAGCGCCGTTATCGTGTAGGGCAGGTGTTGCAGCCGATTGCCGGCCACGTCCAGCACCCGCAGCTCCCGGAGCTGACCCATCTCGACCGGCAGGTGAGTGATACGATTGTCGCGGAGGGACAGTACGCCCAGTTTGGTGAGATTGCCCACCTGTTGGGGCAGCTCCTCCAGCTGATTGCGGTCGACGTTAAAGTTCGTCATATGGACTAAGTTGCCGATCGTCGGCGGCAACTCCGACAGCATGTTCTCCGTGAGGATCAGCTCCTGGAGTGCCGAACAGCCGCCGATCGTCGGGTTCAGCGACAGAAGCCGATTCTGGTCCACCTTCAGGATCAGTAGACGGGACAGTTGGCCGATGCCGTCCGGCAGTGTCTCCAAACAGTTTTGCGATAAATGCAAATCCGTGAGACTCTCCAGACCGGCGATCTCCTCCGGCAAGTACTCCAACCGGTTCTCCGAGACGTCCAGACAGGCGAGCCGTCGCAGGCGACCGATCGCTTTGGGCAGAGTCGACAGCTCGTTGCAGTCGAGCCACAGCTCCTGGAGCTGCGGCAACTGTCCGATCACGTCCGGCAGCTCCTCGATGTCGTTGGAGCCCAAGTCCAGCCGTTCCAACTTAACGAGAAACGAGACGCTCGGCGGTAGGGTTTTCAGCAGATTCTCGCGCAGTTCCAGCGTTTCCAAGGCGTTCAGCGAACCGAAGTCGTTGGGCAACTGCTGCAGCGATATGTCGTTTAGGGCCAGTTGTGTCAGACATCGTAATTGCGTGAAACCCTGCGGTAATCTGTGGGGACAGAGAGTGAGAGTGAGTGAGTGAGTGAGAGAGAGAATGAGAAAGAGACTCACATTTGCAACGGATTTGAGCTAAAGTCGGCCGACTTAAGGCATTTCAAGAACTTGATGTTCTCCGGCAGCTCCGGTATGTCATTCTTGGACACGTCCAGCTCCAGGAGCGCCGACAGGTTGCCGATCTCCGCCGGCAAACGGCATATCTCGTTGTCGGGAAGACTCAACTTCACGAGTCGCGTCAACCGGAATAAACCCTACAAGAAGTGGACACACAATCAATACACGGACACAACACTAGCGGCCGATCACACATCGGTATCACTGAAAAACGGCATACCTTTGGCAGCTCTCGGATGTGGTTGGCGTCGAGGAAGAGCTCCTCGAGAGTCCGGGTATACCGCAGGACATCGTCGGGTATGTTGGGTAGACTGCAGTGGCGTTTGTCGATGTAATCCACCTGACGATTGCAGCCCCGGAACAGTGGTATGCATTTAAACATAGTATATGTGGTCTCGGATCAGGTGTGTGGTGATCGCGACGGTGGTGGTGGTGGTGCTGATGGACCTGTGAGGTGGACACCAACGCCCGCGCGAGTCAGTCACGTGCTCAGCCACTCACACATCGACGCACGTGATTGGCTGCCAATTCATTACATGGTGTCCACACATAACCCGTTAATTAATTTATTAATTATTATTATTACTTATAATAACTATGATTACGATAACTATAACTAGTGTTTAATAAAACTCTATGATATATACAAACAGTTTACAAACGCAATGGTTTATCGCCACTAATGCTATGCTATGCGTATAACAAGTGACTCAATGACACACCAGTGGACACGCCGTGTAACCGATGAAGTTAATGATGATAATAACAGTGGTTATGATCAGTGATAGTAATGATTAATATAATTAATTAGTTAAATAACACATAAACACTGGACGCGAATGGGAGTGTTGTGTCACTAAATCAAGGCTTCAATGGATTCAAAACATTTTTGGGAGCATTTTGTAGGCTAAAGAAATTTTTTGTCATAAATTACGTCCGCTAGGTGTACGTAATTGTATTAATGCAGCAAGCTGGCTTAGGAATTATTTTATTTGCCCCCTTCCACACACACCCCCCTTATATGATAGACATTATAGCGCTGACAATTGATTTAACAGCACAAGTGTTTTAATTATAATTGACAGCATTATAGGGAACACTGAATTGTGTGATCAAATAATCAATGAATTCATTGTAAATTATTTGTCTTACATCTAGGTATCTAGAAATTGATAATCGGTTAGCATTTAGTGTATATTATAGATATGATCGCTGATTATATAGTTATAGTAAATTGTTTGCGAGATTATGTTTTATGAGTGTATTTACTACAAGTGTTAGACACGGAATCGAGGGATGATTATAGCGTTTAGCGGCAATTACTGGCGAAAAGGCATTGAGAGACAAATGCGTGAAAAGCCATAATTGGCTAAATGTATACATATTTTCAGTGTATTAAACACCTTTTCCATACACTTTACGAAACTTATGCTGTATATAGAGGTGCCGTAGAAATTAATTTCGTTTATCGATGAATATATAAATTAAATGAAATTTTTTCTATTCATTCAAATCCTTTTTGAATATTAATTGTCGAAAGGATTATACGAAACGCACGACTCGTATATGAATGGCATATAAAAGGCGTTGTTTTGCGAGAGTTTTCTATGCGATTAGTATTGATGTGAATCTGAATGCGAATACAATTAAGGGATTTAGAGATTTGACGAAACAGTCGCTGATTTGCATAAGACTTACGCATATATTTAGGTTAAGTACTGAGATATGAAATAGTTTTCAATTAGCTGTCTATTAATGGGGGAAACAGTGAGGGATGGGTAGGGATGCGATTCACTGATGCATATCTTATTTGATATATTATGCGAAAAAAGTTTTTGTTTGTTTGTAGGAAACAGTGATAAATGTATTGAACATACTGTGAACTCAAATATTAAATATTATACAAAACTACAAAACTTTTTTTGGCTTAAATATAGTTCAGTCTCTCTCTCTCTCTCTCTCTCTCTCCCCTCCCTCGATATGTTGTATAAATAAAATTTGTTATATAATTAATTTGTATTAAACTATTCAATGCTTACAGAGCGCCGGCTGTTTCGCTCGTACACTCGCGGTGTGAGTCATGTTAACAGTTATGCAGCGAATTGTTTAATGACTTAATAGTCTATTTTTAAATACCATTCCCATTATTACCGGTTATGCAATGGTAGTGAATGCATGGCTCATACACTTTTCGTATGGAAATCCGTGTTATTTGTCATAAACAGGTATTAAAAGTCAAATGTGTGTCAATATTTTCATTCAAAAACATTTTTCAATGCAATTATGAAATAAGTATTGAATAAATAGTAGTCGAGAGCTCTCATCATAATCTCTATTCATTTGATCGCATAAACAATATTTTCATTCAAAAACATTTTTCAATGCAATTATGAGATAAGTATTGAATAAATAGTAGTCGAGAGCTCTCATCATAATCTCTATTCATTTGATCGCATAATTAGTTTCGAAATGATTTTTCGTCAAAAAGTTTAAATGAATTTTATATTAAATTTTTTTAGTTTTTTTTATTGCAATTCATGACAAAATATATTAACGAATGTATAATAGTTTTTAACAATAAATAAATTGACAATTAAAAGTGATTTCAAACACACTGTTTGCCAACAAAATTCAACACATCTTTCAAGTCATAACCTTTCATTCAATACATTATTAATCATTTAATTTAATTATTCACTCAATTATTACAGTAAACATGAGCTAAAAATATACCACTAATTATAGAATTGTGTGGAATTTATGAAAAAGGTATACAGAATGCAAGAATATTCTCTATAGAATTCTGTGAACTGTAAATAGTGTGCAAACACTGCTATAATTAATTAATTTTTAATTAATCCCTCTCATGATACTACCGGTATTAACGTATTCACTAATTAATTGCTAAATAAATCATTACCGGTATAGAGAATATTGTGAATAGTATTTCAAACAAAACATTTAATTTTAAATGAGTGTTAATTTAATACCTAATCAATGGTTGAATAACAAAACAATAAAATAATCAATAAGAATATTATATAAACAACAAAACATAAGTTGGAAAAAATAATTAGTGTTAAAAATTAATTTCATATAAACTTTATATTGTAAAGTATAGGCAATAAAATAAATTAATTTTATTATTATAGGTGAAACATTTTGGCCACAATTGGCTGGAACTGTAGTTTCTGGGAACCGGAGGTCACATTCAGGCTGTAGTCGTAGGGTTGTGTCCACTGATGGCCGTCCACTGAGTACTCGATGCGATAGGAGAAGCGCTGATTCCTGGTGTCATTAATAATTATTTGAATGTAATTGATATTCAATGGGAACCCAAATGTCACGACAATTGGCCGCTCGTTTCCTGTCGTGTGATTGGCCTTCAGTTCGCCAACTGATCCACTGATCACTTCAAAGCCAAACTGTTTGGTGGAAAGGGATGTGTTGTTCACCAGTAGAGCTCTCTTGACAATAGACTCGGCGTTAGGTTTGAACCACTCGTCCATCTCTGCCTTCATTCGCATCGTTCGCCACAACTCTTGTTGAGGAACTAAACCACTCTTTGCCACAGAAGTCATCAGATCTTTGTATTCAATGAGTGGTAAACGTATGCAATGAACCAACTCTTCAGCCGTTTTCGTGTCCAC